TGTGTGTGTGTGTGTGTGTGCGCCCCCTGCGATGGACTTGCATCCCATCCGGGCCGTTCCCCCACTTTGTGCTCCCTGGAATGGGCTGTGAACTCATCCTGACCCTGTGACAGAAACGTGGTTCTAGAAAACGTGTGGGTGCATGGATGGATGTACCAGATATTCCCTTTTATCATCTATCCTGTTTATTATCTCTCCACTGTGAGGGGGAAGCGTTTTGGGAGTGCGAAGCAGAGCTTTCCATACTGTCCTCGGGAGAGGGGGTTGAATAATTGACCCAGAATTGGACTGAGCGGAAGCTAAACGCTAGGTATGCCGCAGATGCTCGGGCTTAAATGGGCGGCATGGACTCGGCGTACCTCAATGATGTCATCATCAGCGAGAAACCAAAGCCCCGATGTGGTTCGACCTTCAGAGAGATGTTCGCCGTGATTGATAAAGTCCTGCCAGATACCAGCCACAGTCACCAGCTCAGGGATGATGAGGCTGCCGCGTCTCGGAGAAGCTGCACGGCCGTTCATGCTCCATCGCACACGCTTTGACGAGCTTCCCCGACATCCTATCCCTTCCCCATTCTTCTTCATCATCACCACCATCATCATCACCATTCCTCTGCAGATCTCATTTTACCAGCAGACATTAAGGTCTTTTGCGGTCGGCTTCGCCTCAACAAGAATGAGGAGGGGGGGGGGAGGAGGCCGGTCCTATTAACAAAGGGAAACTCGATGAACGAACAGATGACAGTAATCAATCGTGGGGTGGGGGGGGTGCCTGCATTATGGAACCAGATTTGAGGGATAGGTGGGCCTAATTTGGCAATTGGGTTATTACGGAGCAGCTGAATCTGATAAACAGCCGCTCGTGCTACTCCGGCGATACACCCTGCGCTCTAGCAAGCTTTAAAAGCATCGTTATCGCCTTGTGAGTGTTACTTAATGAGTCCCAATGGTAGCTGATGCACCGTATGCCCCCCCCCCCCCAGCCCCCACCCCCCATGGCCTCTCTGCCCGCTGCTTCCTTTGTGGAGATGATCGCTTTATGATGAGCATCTAAATTCGAGAAGGAGCACATCCGGCCCATGCTGGAGGGCACCTCTCCTGACTATGCTGGTGACCTCATCGCTCGTCCGTTCGCTTCCGTTCTGTTTCCCATTAAACATTGTCGGTCACCCAGTCCGGTCCTTGGGGACCCACAGATAGTTGACATTCTTTGCAGGAGGGAGCAAAAATGTGGACTGTCTGGCATGGTTGATTGGAGGGAGCAAAAACTTGCACCGTCTGTGGATCCCTGAGGACCGGATTAGGAAACACTGCTCTAGTCAGTTTCTCAGGTGAGACTGTCACAGCATAACGTGGATCTGTTATTTGCTATATGTCTCCTTGACAGCAAGTGTCTCCTCCGTCTCCATCTGAGGGCAAGTGGAGAAGATGTAGGGTTTTTCAGAAGTACTTGCGGACTCCTCCTTCTCCTGACTGAGAAGATTTCAAGTGTAAGATTTCTTGCTGAGAGCCACGTGACATAGATATGGGGGGGGCGGGGGGGGTCAGCAGGGGATTTTATTTGCCTGCAGGTGTAGATACAGTTTGAGGAGTTGGGAAAATGATATGGTACTGGCTTGGGGGGTGCAGCTGAGCATGGGATTAGGGGCTGGGTGCGTCCCAACTTCCCTCTTTCTGTGATGGGCGAACGGCCAATCGGGGCACACCTGGTGAACATCCTCTTGCAAACCGAATTTGATGCCGGTGTTGACAGAAATCACGCCCTCCTTTGGCCTTCTGGGGTGTGCCTAGAGGAGAAGGTCTGTGTGCTCGGATCATATGACGGGGTTTTGACCTGTAATTCCACTCTGCTGCAAGTTCCTACACCGACAACAACATTGCCAGTGGAGGTTTCTTCTGGATTTTTTTTTAAGCTTTGGAAGTTCCTGAAGGTTGCACCCCTAATCGCTCTTATCTGAGAAGCTCCCCATCCTGACTGTTTTTCACTGCCGGACTTTAGCTGGAAATGTTGCCCAGATCCCTCCCAGATAGGTACCCAAGACTTCTGCCAATGTCGGCAGCAAATTTTTCTCTATGGAGTTTGAGCCGCTCTCGTTTCTTCACTGATATGTATTCGGTGTGAGTGTGTCGTGGAAATTGTGAAAAAAATGGTAGATTTCTAATGATATGATGATGGGGAAAGGAATGAGGTCTGTGGGAAGAATAACAATGTAGCCCGTGCTGGTGGTTTCCTCAGGTGGACACCTTTTATTCCATCTACTCAAAGCTGGATTGGTCTAAAATGGGCTTTGGCTCCTCGGAGAACCTCCTGCTTCGCTGGATGACGGTAATAAATCGTGACTCGCGCGTGACTTGCATTGGGCAGATGGAGCAGTGCTCAGCGCTTACTCGAGACATCATCACGTTAAGAAATCTGGTTCCCAGCCCTCGGGTTGTGCAGAAAAGATGGCCTGCATATCAGTTTGCAGTGTTCCTCCACCACCCCCCACCCATCCAGTGCAAGAAAACAAAATAGCCAACTAACTCAACTTCCAGTCAAATATCTATCCTCTGAAAACACTCAGTAGCTATACACTGAACACATTTGCAAGGTATCCCAATGCACGCCAACCTCACGGGAGACGGAAATGACCCCACCTTCTGACCTTTTGACCCCCTCACTGACCTCCTGGGTGGTCCGTGCACGTACAAAACAATCGTCTGGTGATTGATGCCCCCATACGGTCGGCGTGTGATGGCGCTACTTATGTTTTTGACGGATGATTTTTAAATTGGCGCTACAACAACTGAATCCGGAAAAAATCTGAGGAGGAAATCCATTCGGCGAAGTAATCTCGATGCGCGGGTGGCCGCCGCCCGCCAGGCGAACGCTAAGCCCAGTGGAAGCAGCCGGTTGGAAACCGGGACTTCCCGACTTGATTTGCATCCATTGCATCTGCCAAATGCAGACAGGCTTTTGTGTCCAGCCCAGAAACACTGGTCACTGGGACGGGAGCCGAAGGAGGCCCCCTGAGGGCAGACTCTGAATTGCCGATTGTCCCTCTTGAGCCCCCTTACTATGCACTTGTCCAGATGAATGTGCCGTGATATGGGATGCGTGAAAGGATTCTCACATCTGGACGTCAACCTAAGAGCTTGGGTGATAATGAGTATCAGCTAGAGGCTGCCACCCCTCAAGTTATGCTGATTCTGACAAATTGTCTTCTAGAAGAGTGTTTCTCAAACTATTTTTGCTGTCTCCCAATTCCTTGATAGTTGGGAGAGAGCAAAGACATGGGCCATCTGGGGGGAGGTCCTGAGGGCTGGTTTGAGAAGCACTCTTCTAGAAGATGCTAATCGCCTGGAAGAAGCTCTTCAAGTTACTCATTTGTTTGGTCAATATTTGATCGATCGTCATTATAGCAATGCAGTATTGTATCTGCATAAACAAGCTGTTTTAATATAGTTTCAGTTTAATCCGTTATTATTTTTATGTATATTGATGGATCGCTTAAGTAACACATTGTCAGATTCCATAATTATTTCCAAAGAATATAACCATCTTCCTAATAACTGTAGAGCACAGGGTCTGTCCTGGGGCTACACTGGAGTGATCGCTTGTGCGTTAAGGCCCTGGCACTGTCTCCGTTAATGACAGACCTCCCTTTCTTTAGCATGAATCGCCTGCACCGCTCCTCGTGCGTGAAGAAGAGAAAGGCTCTGATGGGTGGATTTAATACACACTCGAATGGACATGCAGTTGGCGCTCTGTTTGTTGGACATTAATTGCTCTAAGAGGGGAGATGGATCCTTTTGTCCAACTGCACTCGGTTGCCTCCACCCCCATTTCCTTATTTTCCCCACACGTTACGTGAAAGCGGTCATCAGTTATGCACGACTTGGGTCCTTTAACTTAGCGGCTACAAAGCGTCTCTCGTGTTGTTGTAGCCGTTCAGCTAGCTTTCCACCCCACTGTGTCGCTGTCCCGTGTCACCACACATGGGGGGGGGGGGGCACTACTGTCATCCGTCATCCCGCCGTTGCGCTCCACCAGCATGTGAGCCCCCACTCTGGTACAGGATTATAATCAAATGCCATGGGGTCCCCCCCCCGCACCCCACCCCACCCCTGGGCCCCCACTGAACCAGTGGGCTGATTCTCCTCAGTTTCCGAATACCGTGTCTAATTAAATCGCAGCGTCGAACGGCGTCCGATGGCGAACCCGTGCCATCTCCCCCCCCCTCCAAGACGTCTCTGAATTATTCAGCTGTGATTCACACAGCATGGGTGAGTGCCACGAATCATCTGCGGGGGTGTGTCATTTCAAATAAGTCATTTCAAAGCGGAATGGGATTCTTTCTCTTCCGTGGTGAATGAGCCACTGCGATGTGTTTGTGCTGAGAGCGATGCCCCGTGTCAATCCTGAGACGCTGGGAGGCTGGTGTTTCTCCTTCCTACATGCGCTGATGGAGACGAGCACTTAGGGTTCCTGATGGTTCCTGGTGGTAGTTACCTTAAATGCCCTTCTTGATAACTCCACACTAGATTTACTAGGGCAGTGTTTCCTAGTCCGGTCCTTGGGGACCCCCAGCCGGTCCATGTTTTTACTGCCTCCGAGCTCCCAGTAAACATGGACTGTCTGTGGATTTCCGAGGTTCCCGAGGACCGGACTGGGAAACTAGAGCCACAATGACAAGGGTCACACACCTCAACACACTGCTGCCTTAGCACTCCCTTCTGGAATTCTATTACAGCTTAAATTCATAACTGTTTATCAACCGGTTGCACCAGTCTAAATGCTGTTGAGTTTCATTGTACGCTTAAACATTTTGAAATGACAAAGTTGTTCCTGAAATGATGTTTTATGACCCGTGGACCTCAGGCAGAGTGAGACTTTATCTCCTTATAATACTTTGTGTTGTCATTCCAGAGATTGTTGCATTGGAGATTATGAGGAGATGGACTTGGAACTTTCTTCTTCTCTCTCTCTTTCGTCTCTTTCTTCGACTCTCCTCCTTCCAGATGGTGGCCTTGGAGAGACAGGTGTTCGACTTCCTGGGCTATCAGTGGGCTCCCATCTTGGCAAACTTCTTCCACATCATCATCGTCATCCTGGGCCTTTTTGGCACCATCCAGTACAGGCCACGCTATATCGTAGTGGTGAGTCTCCGCATGCAAAAGCTTGTGTGTGTTTGAGCGCACGTGCAGGACATAGCATAGTCCTTAAGGACATGGATGTATTATGTGATGGTTGCTGGTTCACTTCCCAGGTGTTTTCTGGTATTGTACCCTGGAACAAAGTACTTAACCAGAATTGAGTAAAATATCCATATTTACAAACAAGTCTAACTAGTCAGTTTCCAGAGGTGGGAAATTCAGGTCCACAAAGTGCAAATACAGTCCAAGATTTAGCTTCAACCAACCAGTCGAGTATAAAAAGTCACAGTCAAAGGACTCAGCTGGTTACTTGAAACAAAATCTTGGTCTTGATTTGTACTTCCTGGACCTGAACTTTCCACCTTTGTCAGTTTCTTTGTACAAAAGTCTCACCTAAACAGAGAAATAATGAGGGACCTTATTCTTACATGTAAAAAGTGAAATACAGTGAAGAAAATGTTTTGGCCTCAGGCTGAGCTGCTGCTGCTTATCATACAAACACTGCAAATGTCACCCTCTAAATCATCTCCTTAATCCAGCTGTAATTAAAGTAATTAATCCCTCCATGCAACACAAAACCCAGGCTCACTCGAATCACAGATAAACCTTAAATCTGGCTGCCGTCGATATTTGGATTTCATGGGTGTGGTGAGGAAGACGGAAACTTCCGGTCTCCTTCGAGGGCTAAGGAGACGGCTTGAAGTCCATTTTTTGCAGTGTGTCTGATTCTGGACGCGTCATTGGTATTGATGTTTTATTGTGATGCTACAGCTTTAAGCATGTATTTTTATTTGTGAATAGCTCACAATAACATGGAATTGTGCATACTAATGGAAACTAATGAGGTTCTCTTAGAAAAAAACGAAGGCTTTCCCCTTAAGGACGATATTGTGATTCATTTTTTCCCTCTTTGAACACTAATGAGGGTCCGAACGTTGATTTTCTTTCCCGCGGACGGACCCTCGATAACAAGCCACGAGAGCCAGCTAACCAAAGATGACAACCGCTGGCTTAAAAGGCACTCAGCTCTTCTAATTTGCACTTTAAACACCATTTTTTTTTTTACAAAGCTTTTTGTATTTTTTGAATGTAAATGGCCGGGACCGTGCAGTGACTCTTGCCATGTTCTGGGTTGGTTAAAATTGTCTTCCAATTAAACAGAAGTTGCTGTTTTTGCTGGTGGTTCAGTGTAGAATGAAATAATGAAAGGAATGAAAGATGGTACTTGGTACATTAGGGAGGTAATTAACACATCCTTGGATTAATTGTGCGGTGTGTGATGATGCTAATTGTGCTGTGCGTTTATCCCATAAGGATTCCCCTAACCATCGTGGCCCCCTGCAGGTGACCCTGGGTATATCCCTTCGGGTAATCCCCACAACCCAAGTGCTTGTTGGCTATTTATTCAGGCCTTTGTGTACTTTTTGCTCCTGAAGGGGGTGCTGTAGCAGCTTGATGGCTTACCCGGGTCATACATGTTAGTTTCCCAGCTCTGGGGCATTACACCAAGGCTCTGGTGGGAACTTGAACCTTCCGCCTTCTGGTCATGAGCTGAAAATCTTTTGCATTACATGCTGTTCCCGGTATTGACTGATTAGCGTAATTATCTGCATTCCACTCACCTCATCCCCCATTTTCTGACAGTATGCCGTCTGGACCGCTCTCTGGGTGGCGTGGAATGTCTTCATCATCTGCTTCTACCTGGACGTGGGAGGTCTTTCCAAGGTAAGCAAATCTGTTTTGAGATTAAGGACATTTTAAGGGCCACTGTGTGTTTAGTGGCTGTTTGTGTTAAGCTTTTGTGCTCATGATCAGAAGGTCGTTGGTTCCAGTCCTGTGGTAGGCAGAGTGATGCTACCGTTGGACCCTTGATCGAGACCCTTAACCCCCAGCTCCAGGGGTACTGGATGCTGGCCGACCCTGTGCTGTGTCCCCCCAAGCTTGTATCTGTGTCTCATGGAGAGCAAGATGGGGTCAGCGACCCCTTGAATATCACTGTTCTGTTCTGATCTAGAAGTCACCAGTGCAGTGGAACTTGCCGCTGACCAACCTGGTTCCTGCATGATTCTGGAGCCAAGGGTGTTTGTCTGGCTGGACATGGTCGTGGGAAAGGCAGTCCTGGTTCCTGGAGATGAGAGCCTTGTATTTGCATTCGTTTTCTGCAAGTGGATTCTTTTGTTTTTGTAGGACACCGCAGAAGCTCTGCGATTTAATAAATCAGTCCAGAAAAGGACCGACTCCTAAATTTCATGGTGGTCCTCCTAACGAAAAGGAAAACTCTTTCGTTCCAAGGTCTAACAGTGTTCCTCAGGAAAAACACAAGAGGCTGACGTTTAGTGAAGCGCACCCCCACCCCTCCCCCCCGTAGTTCTGCAATCTTTGGGGGTCGCGTCCCCATATACCCGGTTCACCCCACACCGCCTTCCTCCCCTGTGCTCCTAGCGTGTAGTTCAGATCCATGGGCTTCTCCCGTCAGATTGCCCTGAGGATTATGGGTATGCCTGAACAGTTTCCTCCGTGCGGACACTGACTACAATAACAGGCTCCTGACTTGCAAAACCGTGGCTGTCCAATGGAAAATGGCCGGCAGGACATTACATACGGTGCCGTGTCTCAAGGTGAGGAAGACCTCGGACGATTCTGGCCTTGAGATTCTCCTCCACCCCCTGTGTGGGATTGCATGGCCAACGTGGGTTTCATAATTACAATCAAGACCAAGGACTATATCAGCAGCACATGAATTATGAACTAACCATAGTCTTTCTTTGTCCGGTTTTTTTTTGAGAGAGAGAAAGCTACTGATAAGGAGCTGAATACATCCTAGCAAATAACTCCAGCATCCCCCCCTGCAGTGATCTGCTGCAGTTGGTGGAAATCTGTACACGAGCACAGCCGCTCACTGTCAGGTATAAATCGTGCCTTTTTATTTTCATTTAAAGCGTTTTGTCCGATTCACATCCCTGTCAGAGCAATGGCACAGGCGGATGATTGAGGGGACGTGAAATTCACGGCCTTTTTTCCCGCAGTGTGGAGATCTCTCGGAGTGCACTTAATGGCGGATATCAGCACGCGCCTGATATCATCTGCATGTCGATGAGTTTTCCCTTTCATAAGGAAGGTTTTTTATTTCTACCTGCTCTTTTGAGGAAAACGTTTCTTAATTACCTATCCGAGAGCAACTTTCTAAGTATTTCTAAAATGAAAATTAAAAGTCTGAAGCCATTTCTCCAAAGAATGGCGTGTCCATTAAATGTCGTCGGCGAATCATAAATGCTATCGTGTTGCTGGGCTTCCTGATAGTCTGTGGAAATTCACTGCCTAAGCTTGGTCTGCACAGTGTAAAATCATGTCATTTTAATTTCATATTAGTGACATATCTCTAGTAGGGTAAAGGTTGTTAACTTGGGGTTTAAGGTTACTGCTGTACATTTTCATGCCCGAACCCCCCCGTCTTCAGTGCCACCTTTGGTACCCCCTTAGCTCCTGTTTTCACTTGGTTCTCGCCTTCAAGGTCGAATTTTAAAGGGGTACAGTCTACCATGGTTTCCGTAGCTTTGTAGATCTCTGTGGTGTGTGACGTTTATGGGATGCTTTTCACCGCCATATAAATAAGGTCTGTACACATATCCACCCCCTCATGCTCATAATAACCAAAACTGAGCACAGCCCTCCCCGGGGGGGGGCCCTCGGCCCACTTTTGGAGGGGCACGTTTGTGATTTTCTCGCTGCCCTGTTGTTGATTGCAGAGGTCAGCATTCGCCAGCTCGCTCCAGGTTGCGGTGTGGGGACGCAGCCAATCAGTGCCTTGCGAGGGGCTTAAACGTATCCAGGACTCGTAATGCCGGCCAATAACCGCACCTCCCCCGGGTAAACGAGATCGTCGCAGTTCCCCTTGCAAGGTTATCCGGTGACATCCACCCTCCCCCTGCCCCGCATCCTGTGATACTCCGGTGGCTCGTCTCTGCCTGCATCTGACTCACCCCCCCCCCCCCCAGCCCCGCCCCGCCCCACCTTGCCCACCGCATCCATCACTCCCAGAGCCTTGGGCTGGTTTTCTCCAACAGCATAATGAAGTACCTGTCAAATCCTTCAACATGACAGAATGTTAACATCTGAAATCCGAAGCTTCAATCTATCCGTCAGCATTGTTGGGCAACCCTCCTCATCTTCCTCCTCATCTTCCTCGCTGACTCCTCCTACCAGCCATGTGCACTCACCTGAATCCAAACCATCTCCATCTGTTGGGTTAACACCACTCAGTCCATGCCAGCTGTACCTGTTATGTCCAATTATTTACTGAGCTGGTGGTGGTTCTCACAACCTCCCTGTCAGAATCCCTCTGGTAAAGGCTGAATTTTCAAAGCATCCATGAAAAGTCCTCTAAGATCTTTGGGGATGTTCTTCTGCTTCTCTCTCTCTCTCTCGCTCGCTCTCCTGCTCTTCAGATTCTCCATCCGCTTCCACACGGTATCTCCTCACTGTCTGGTCAGACAGTCTTTCTTTGTCTGGGCGGTGCTCAGAGACCCCTGTGCAGCCCCCCCC